CTCGTCCAGGTGTATAGGTGGCATTCATCTCATTTTAAAAGCTTTTGATGATCCCCATTTTACGGATAAGGACATTGAGGTGCAGAGTAGTTAAGTAACCTTGCCAAGACCAAAGAGGTACCAAGCAGGCAATCCAGCTCAAGATCCTGTGCTTTAAGCCGCAGCCCTCTAAGATCATTGGATAAAGTTCACATGATCTCTGCCAAACCAATGGAAATTTCTTCCCAGGAGTCTTTGACCTTGAGCTAGTCCTTTCCTCTCTGATATCAGAGTTGTAAGTTAATGAGTCTGCTCCTCCTTCCCATTGCCATCTGAAAAAAGTTGCTTAAGAGAACCAAATCCTCACGGGAAGATACACAGAAGGGAGATCTGGCAAACACTGATGGTCCTGGAGACGCCTGTTCTGGTTGGCCTTGCCCCTTTTGAAGCCTGACCACCTTCCCTTCTGGGAAATCTTTGTGTGTTTATGCTTTTTTAGCCAGTCAGTATCTGCTGCGTAGAACCAAAATAACTTTGACGAACACCCAGGCAATACAAGGAACTGGCTTTGGTGATAACTGCTTTCCATTCTTTAGATCCAACAGACATACTTAAGCCAAACCAACCTAAAAAGTTGCTTCATTTAAACTGCCCTTTTTTCTTCTAAAACCCCTGTTTCTACGGTGTCCTTGTTAGGGTGTTTAGTTAAGGAACAGGAAGTCTCTTCCAATGACTAACATGAAACTATCAGAAAACAGCTCTGCTCCCCCTCAGCCTCAAATGTTCACTATTACTCCTATTCTTTTTTTTGATCATTATAGTGTAGCACGCTGAGACTTTGAGAGATCAGTAAGTCGTAATCTATCATTTGTCAAGAAAGAGTGAAAAACATTTTATCAAATTCATCAGTACTGCAAATGACTTGTAAGACATAATGAATGATATAAAAAGCAAACCACAGTTGGTTATTTGTAAGATCCCCGTTATCTGTTGGGGAAGGAGACATGATGACGGTAAAAAGCAATAAGGGGTTGGGATGGAAGTCTTAGTGAGACAACATTCAAACTCTAGGAAATAATTCTAAATTAAAATGCCACCAAGTGTGGCTACACATTATTAACCAGAATCAGTCAATTTAGGAAGAAGTAGCAACCTGGCTGGAGTGAGGAGACAGCCTTAATTAAAATACTTCAATGTGGCTGAAAACTCATTTTCATAGTCGGGCCGAACAAATGCCTAGAAAATTAAAAAGGTAATAGATTGATTTCTGTTTATTTTAGCTCTTTGTTAGAATTAATATATTATTCTACGTTCACTGTATTCCCAATAACTGTGTTCTCCTTTGCTGGGGAATATAAATCAATAGAAGATACCATGTCTGCACTCAAAGAGGAAAGAAAACCAAGTGGAGCACAATTTTTGCAGCTCCCAGCAAAAAAGGAAATGTCTCACCCTCCTGAGCATATGTGTGGCTATACAAACATAGTAGGTTCTTAATAAATAAATGTTGATTGATGAATAATTATGTGTGAGAATATACAGTATAGACCACAGTTTCCTAAAGTAGTAAAAACTGCACTAAGCTACCCCGAAAAGAGTTTACAAGACTTGACAAGGGGAAAAGCTTCATAAAAAAAAAAGACACACACACAAATACTGATTTATAAGATAATACGCATAGCACTGATTAGTATTATCAAATGTAGGAATACATCATCCTGAATGTTACACAGTTAACACAGCCTCTGAGTCTATTCTCACCTTCAAACCTAACCTCATTCATTCATAAGTGACACAATCTCGCAAACCACATACTGGGTTTGGGGGTGTGGTGGGGAGTGAGCCTACAATCTCTTAAATATATGTGGGACAATCAGTGTGCTATAAAATGATCAAGAAGACTAATTCTTGGAACACATTTTAGAAGAAAATGTATCTGCAGTCATGATGTTTTGCCCCAGCAAATCCCCATGAACACTTCATAGAAACAACGGCACAGAGCATGGTCTCTGTCTCTAGAGATCCAGTTCATTCCTGGCTCTGCAATGTAGGCTTGGACAAGTGAGGTAATAGTCGGTGGCCTAAATAGCTTCAGAATGTAATAATAATGGTAATACATGATAATAATGACAATACTGATATCTACCACATGGGGTTCTTTGAGGAATTAGTGTTGGAACAATGGGAGAATAAAGTAAGAGTTTGACAAACACAACCTGTTTTGACAATCATCGTGTAAACAGTAAGGACCATAATATGATTGAGCACGTGGAGCCATAATCATGATTTGGGATGGGGACTGAAGCTAAGCCTTGAAGGAGATGCATGGGTCCTACCATGTGACTTCAGCATGTATTTAAACTGTACTTGGGGCACCTGGCTGGCTCAGTTGGTAGAGCATGCCCCTTTTGACCTTGTGGTCACACCTTAGGGTCATGAGTTCAAGCGCCATATTGGATGTAGAGCTTATTTTTAAAAACTACAAATAAAACTGTACTTCATGTAGCTAGCATGTGGTAGACATTTAACAAACGTGGAATTAACAGCAAGGAAATTACCTGACCAAATCTGGAGTGCTAAAATGGCCTCAAAACAGATGATTGTCAAAGTTTTGAGATTCTAGGCCACTAGGCAGATTTCCTACTAGCAGCAGACCAATGCTCTCTTGCTCTCTCAATATCAATCATGACAAAAAGATGGACTGTCAAGAAGGCCCCAATTGCCCTATGTTGTGATCTGCTAGACCGAATCCCTGATTTATTCCCCCTTTATATTATTTGATTCTGCTCTTTCTACAGCAAATCCAGCCTATTTGGTCCTTGAATATCCACAACCCCAGCGCCACCCAGAGAGTCCTGGCATCACACACAGGCAGAGGTAGAGTTGCGTTTATCTTTCTGAAAGCCATTCCTTTAAATGGAGCAACGGTATTGCTTCTGTTAACACATCGTTTCGCTTATTTGAAGCATCTGGATAAGGTTTATATCCCTACTTCTGAGGGGGTTTGTTTATTTCTATTGTTTTAAAGCATCTAGTCTCTTCCTGAAACACAGGCCAGAAAAAATTATCCAAGGTTCCTAACCAGTCCGGAGCTTTCTGATAGGCAGTTAGTGCCACAACTGCCTATCAGAAAGTTGTCTTATAGAAGCCACAAATCCCCATAACACGCGTCTTCTCTAAGCCATTCCCAAGGACAGTTAGAGGTTCATAGATCTGAAAGGCTGTTTCAGAAGATGACCAAATGATTTCATCCGCTCTAAGTTACAAACGGCTAACAAAGCCCATTTTATCACCAGGCTCACGAACTGTCATATGCTTGACAGACATCAAGGAAGGGGAATGTGGGATTTGCAGGTAGATGCAGGAGCTAGAGAACAGAGGAGTCATCCTTATGGTAATTAGAAACAAAATTAGGGATACCGCACAGGCTAATCTTAAAGCTAGAGATGCTAACATGAATCTAAATATTCAATAATCTCTGTATAAGGACAATGTAGACAAGTCCTTCCCAACCAAAATGTCAGGATATGCCAGGGCTATTAAAACTAGCTCCTTCTGATTTGACTTTTCCCTACAGTGTGGGCTTTAATTATTCACCTTTCTATGCTGGCACTATGACAATTTCTTCCCATGTTCTCAGTCCTTTAACATTTCCTATCTCTTTCATTAGCAATGCACGCCCAGCCTCACCTCGTTTCAACTTCTAAGAGGATAGTTCTGCTGCAGCATAATTTTGTGCTGCTTTGGCTGCCAAATACAAACAAATTAAATAGCTAATATGCAAAATTTACATCACCTCTCTTGGCAAATAAAATGATGGATAATTTATGGTCTCTATCTGCAAGAAAACACACTGACAGAGTGATGGTTAGCATCACAAACGAAAACTCCCCAAAGATTCCATTCTTTCCAAAGGTCAGATGCTCAAATAATGAGCGATGCCTATTAGCAGAAATGCTTACAAAAGTTTTGAAAGTAGGGACAGTAGAGACTATTTATGTTTGTTGTTTCATGTTTGTTTCGCATATTTTTCAAATTTTAGAAAAAAATGGCAAAGTAGACTATAGGATGTTAGGAGGAATTCGGCATCGTATTGACAATTCTTTGTCACGTTTATTACAACTGAAGATCTGTGAATATTTGACCTTAAAAAGATTAGGAGCTATTATGGGAGCCATTACACCTGTCTTATGGTAGAAGTAGCAGCCCATGCTACAAGTGAAAACCCAGAAACTGGACTTCCATCTCTAAGACATTTGTGGAGAGGATTTATGCTTTGAATAGGAGTTAGATTATGTATATTCTAGGCTCCTTTAAACTTCAAGGTTTCATGTACCTCTGGAATCCAATAAGAACAGAGTTGGAGTGGGGCGCCTGGGTGGCTCAGTCGGTTGAGTGTCCCACTTTGGCTCAGGTCATGATCTCGCGGTTGGTGGGTTCAAGCCCCGCGTTGGACTCTGTGCTGACAGCTCGGAGCCTGGTGCTTGTTTCGGATTCTGTGTCTCAGTCTCTCTCTGACCCTCCCCTGCTCACGCTGTGTCTCTGCCTCTCAGAAATATACATTAAAAAAAAAAAAAAAAGAACAGAGTTGGAGATAAATATCTAGGAAATCCAAAAAGGAGGGGGACTTGAACTAAACAGAGTGGTAGAACGTTACGCAACGGAAGCGCACAGAGTGTACAATTATGAATCCAGCTGAGCCATCGTGACCTTCTTGTCTTGCCCTCCTCTATGTTACTAGGGAGCTATTCATCTGAGCACTGCTCCATTTCTGTGTTCAACATACTACGCTTACTGTAGATGAGACTCTCTAGGTCACAAATGTTTAAGTGTGCCTCTATTTAGAAAAAATATATATATTAAAGATGCTATTTGTACAAAAGCAGCCCACATAGCTATCTCTTTCTGCCATTATGTATATACAAGGGGCCTCCAAAATGGCAGCATGCAATGTTCACAGCAGGATTTGCCAAGATATTCCTCTGGGGCGCAGGGAAAACTAGTTCTTAGTATACTTGTGTAAAATTAAGAACGAATGTACCATTTACTTGATCACAAAGGTAGTTTACCAGGATGAGGCTGATCCTTTGTACTCCGGATGTGCTGGCCCATGCAATTTATCCAAGTGTGGGAAACTTGACTGCTGAATTTGTGGTAATGGGGGAACTGAGTTCGTGCTCTCCTCTGACAGCTAGTACCTAAAACCAAACATGGAGCACTCACTCTTTCTTTCTAGCTCCTGCCTGTTATTTTTTGAGAGAACATACAGAACTCTGATGTCTATTATAACTGCAGCACCACAGTATATCAACCTTACTAAAAAATGCTTCTCTGAAAGAAAGAAAGAGAGAGAGAGAGAGAGAAAGAAAATAACATTTACTGTATGGATTACCATGTCATATAGTCAAACGTCAAGGACAGAGAAATCTAAGGACAGTGACTACCAGATGGAGGCTGTGAAGGTAATAATATCCATCAGAGTATTACAAGGTGGGCTTCTGGTCAAATGTTTTTACAGAATATATTATTCAAACTATTTTAATATAAATAACCCTCGCAATATGGAAATGTAGCTTTAAAATATACCTACAGGAAACCATAGGTGACCTATAATATATAATATTTATATATTATATATATATAATATTTATAATTAAAGTACACAAGAACAACAAAAAATGTCAAAACGGAATCTTCCTACAACTAAAACAATTTCTCTACTAATTCCATTTGAGAATAAAAATAATAATGATCTCATTAGATAATGATATCAGAATAATAATATCTCATTAGATAATGAGATCAGAAAAGATCTTCACACTGAAATTATCAAGGAGACTACTTAAGATATGAATTTGCAACCATCATAACTAATGACAAGCCTCACACTGAGTCTATATTCTGCCTTCAGCTAATAGCCCATGGTAGTCAAGGTTATCACTAGGAGCAAAACATCTAAAAAGCAAGTTACAAAGGGGTACCCGGATGGCTCAGTCCGTTAAGCATCAGACTTCAACTCAGGTCATGATCTCACAGCTTGTGGGTTCATGCCCCGCGTCAGGTTCTGTGCTGACAGCTCAGAGCCTGGAGTGTGCTTCACATTCTGAGTCTCCTTTTCTCTCTGCCCCTCCCCTACTCAAGATCTGTCTCTTTCCATTTCTCAATAATAAATAAATGTTAAAAAAAAAAAAAAAGCAAATCACTGGAACACCATTAATAAAATTTTACTGGTAGAAAAATGATGTTACACAGTAAATTAATAAAAAAGCAGCTAAATATTAGGGTTTTTATTTTTATCTTATACTTTTTAAAATCTATATTAGTATATGTTTTAAAAGACTTAGTATAGTAGAACATGTATATAATTTATATATATATATATGTATAATGTATGAATACATTTTATATGTATATACCAAAGATAGAGATAGATATGCCAGGGGTTTAAAACATCAACTGATTAAAAATACATATATCATATGCATACATATAAAATATATATATTTGTGTGTGTGTATGTGTGTATGTGTGTGTGTGTGTGGGAACCATTTTATTTAGAAACTTGTGATTTACTTATAAATGCTTGGTATTACAGGACTCTGAAAGATTAGTTAGCGTCTGGGACAGTTAGGGGTTTTTTCCCTACTTATTTTGCATTGTTCACCTGATTTTTCAGGTTACCGTCTCTTCAAATCCCATGAACATACTCCGCACATTTTATAAAATAGTAAAAATCATTTTTTCACAAGCTTACTATTCAAATACCTTTTTCTACAATAGTGGATATTTACAAATATTTGAAAAGTAAACCAGATGATCTGTATTCTAAACTCTCAATGATTATGTTTCTATGGGTCAAGACTCTGAAGTCTGAGACTTTAATTTCATGCTGATGCAGTTCCAATGGCTATTTCTACCAGATGAATACCTCCAGGCCAAAGCAACAATCTCATCTGTATTCATTATTGTCCTAAATTACAGATATTAAAGATACATAAACCATGAAGCCACGTGGTGATATTTCTATGTTAACACTTCCCAACTGACTCAAATAGGTTGTGTTTATACATCTGATTAGAGAATTGAAAAAGAAAACAAACCAGCACCTGATACCAATAAAGAGATGACACAATTATATTTTCATGTATCATGGTTTATTCATATGTCAAACTCACACAGGTGTAAATAGGGCAAATCTGAAAATAGAAGTTGTCAGTATCTTTGGCAGTGATAAAATAATCAATGAAACCACTTTTACATTTGTTACTTCCCATACAGGTTAACTTAAAGCGCTTTTAAAATAATTAGGTAGCAAGTTAAAGTTCTGTATTAGTTGGGTTTTGTGTTTTTGTGTATTCTTTTTTTTTTTTTGGAAAGGGAAAGCACAGCACTGTCAGTGTGGAGCCTGAAGCAGGAATCGATCCCACGAACTGAACTGTGAGATCATGACCTGAGCCAGAATTAAGAGTCTGATGCTTAACCAACTGAACCACCCAGGCACCTCATGTTTCTGTGTATTACATTTGTTTAATTTTTCAGAATACCACATTCTCTACCTATACCAGTAACTTTTATTTTTTTAATAGACCTTATTTTTTAGAGCAGTTTTTGGTTCACCACAAATTTGAGCACGGGGTGCAGAAATTTCCCACACACCACTCACCTCCATGCATGAATAATCTCCCCATTATCAACATCCCGCATCAGAGTGGCACATCTGATACAACGGATAAACCTACAGTGACAAATCACAGTCATCCAAAGTCCATAGTTCACATCATGGTTCACTTGTTGTGTTGGATCTTTTATGAAAGTACATGATTCCCTCTATGCGGACACATTTTTACGGGCACGTATCCACCATTCTAGTGTCATACAGACTGGTTGCACTGCCCTAAGTACCCTCTCTGCTCCACCCATTCCCCTCTCCCTCCCTTCTAACCTCTGGCAACCACTAATCTTTTTACTGTCTCCATGGCTTTGCCTTTCCCGGAATGTCATGTAGTTAGAATCATACAGGATGTAGCCTTTTCAGATTGGCTTCTTTCACTTAGTAATAAGTATTTCAGTCTCCGCCATGTCTTTTCATGGCTTGATAGCTCAATTCTCTTCTACACTGTAAATGATCCACTGTTTTGACGTACCACAGTTTATTCATCCACTCACCTACTGGAGGACATCTTGGTTGGTCCCAAGTTTTGACAACTGTGATGAAGCTGCTGTAAACATCCATGTGCATATTTTTGTGTGGATGTAAGTTCTCAACTCTTTGGGGAAATCCAAAGGGACACAATTGCTGAGTCGTATGGTAAGAGTGCATTTAGTTTTGCGAAAAATAGCCAAACCATCTTCCAAAGTGACTGTACCATTTTGCATCTGCACCAGCCATGAACGAGACTTCCCACTGCTTCACATTCTCTCCAGCATTTGGTGTCTTCGGTGCTCCAGATATGACCATTCTAATAGGTGTGTGGTGCTATCTCATCTGCTCCGTCCGCATTCCCCTGATGGCCTATGATGTGGAACATCTTTTCATACGCTTACTTGCCATCTGTATGTTTTCTTTGGTGAAGCTTTCATTTTTGGGGGAAAAACACTAGAAAATTCTATGCATTTGGGTTTAAAATGTGAAAAAGAAGTATTTAAAATCCACAGAGAAACGATAGGATGTATCAGGGGGCTTTCTGCCCCGAAGCTGCACCAGAAACCCCACTATTAAATGGATTAGATGATTTTCCAATCAGCTCAGCCTTAATATTCAAACTTCAGTGAGCCCACTTAACCAAACTCAGCAGAGGCAGCCCCTCCCCTCATACTGATATCAATTTGCTTGTTTCCCACCTATCCCTGCTTCACTTTAGCACACTTCCTTTTTTCTCAAAATTAATTATAATGGCTCAATAAAAATAGCTTGAATTAAGGGATAATCAGTTTAATTAAATTCGGATGATATTGAAGACCTGTCCTTGAAAATGTCTATGTAGTTCCCAGAAGAAAAGAATCAAATTAATTAATACTTTTCAAATAAAGATGTAAAATCCCTTGTACAACCAAGTATTTCATCTAAATTTAGACACTCACTAAAGAACTGCTCTGAGTAAAATGTCAAGTCAAAAGAGATATTATGAAAACCCACATTTGAAAGAAAATACGTGCAAATTTCTCACCCTCGTACCCACATGGGTGCTTACCATTTTCTTCTTAGAAGAAAAAAGATCATAGGTTTTAAAAAGGAGGGAGAAAAAAGATCTGTTTTCAGATGCTGACTTTCCCATTCACTGGCTGTGCTACATGGTAACTTATCTAATTTCAGTTCCGTCGTATGTAATGGGGGGAAACGAGATAAAGTCATGTTGTCCCTGTGAAAATTCGGTAAAATGATGCTTATAAGACACCCAGCACAGTGCCTGTCACAAATTAGGAACTTCATAAGTGAGAGGTGCTACGTGTTCATCATTTATCAAAAAAGAGCATGGGGTTAAAAAAAAAAAAGAAGAAGAAGGTAGGAAGGGAACAAGAAAATTTAAAGAAAGAAAAAACAGGCACAAATAAAAGAAAGGAAAATGCCATTGCAGTGAGGGGCTCCTAAATAGTCTATGCTAAACATAAACAAAAATTACAATTTCCCATAAAATGTTGCCATTTCCAACTAAACGACATAAGCCTGTCACAGAAACACAAATAGTGCATGAGTCCACTCACATGTGGTATCCAAAATAGTCCAGTTCATAGCATCAAAGAGAGGAATGGTGGTTTGCTGGGGCCGGGGTTGAAGAAAGGGAGAGTTGCTAATACATGGGCATAAAGTTTCAGTTATGCAAAATGAATAAATTCAAGAGATATGCTGTACCACACTGTATCTATATATGGTCAGCAATACCGTATCATTGCTTTCAGATGTTGTGAAAAAAGATGTTAGAGGGTAGATCTCATGTGAAGTGTTCCTTCCATAATAAAAGAAATTAATAAGGAAAAATAAACAAATAAATCAGTACACATCTAGCCCTTTCTCACAACCCACTATAGTCTTGTAAAAATAAGATGCATTTCTCTTGAAAAACAACAACTAAACGTAAATAAGTAGCCCCAAATCAAATCACTCGAATCTCCTTAATCCCATTCTCCGAAAAATATCAGAGCTATCTCAGAAAATAGGAGTCATCAGCTCTGATTCCCTGGGTTCAAGC